ATCCATAAAGGATCCATAAAGGATCCATAAAGGATCCATAAAGGATCGCTGTATTTCCTATATATGCTCACTCAGTAAATAAATATTCTCTGAGCCTGTTATGTGCCAGCCATGCTCTGGATGCTGGGGATGCCTTAAGCAGGAGACGAGAGTGTAAACATAGCCATGTTTTTCTAGGCTCTTGGTGGCAGAGGGGACAAGGCTCTCTGGCTAACAGAGCCCCTTGTTTTGTTTTCTTCCATTTGACCCTTAGGTTAGCATACAGAGTCGGAGGTTTCATCTTCACACACGTGTCACACGGTCACATTATACTTCCTTCTCATGTACTCCCCTCCTCCACACTCCACCCTTCTGTTGGACCCTTGCTCCCCTCAGTCCGTCCTCCCATCTGCTTTCTTATTACACACGTTCTGTCAGTCTTTCTACTTCCCACCTCCCTGACCAGCTCTACAGTTATTCCTCCCCCTCATCATCTCCTTTCTAGTTACGCACGCACACGCACACACACAATTTTAAAACTAGGTTCTACATATAAGAGAAGACATGGCCCTCATCTTTCTGAGTCTGTTTTATTTGTCTTAGCTTCGTGACCTCCAGTTATACCCGTTTTCCTGCAATTGCCATGATGTCACCTTTCTTTGTGACTATGTAGCATTCCGCCGTGTGTATGGAGTTCTCAGTTTCCTGGCTGTCTTTACTACTGAAGCTATAAATATGGGCGTGCAAGTACAGAGATCATTCTCTGAGCCCAAGGATGACGGCAGGAACCATCACTGCAGGCTTCAGTGTCTCCTGCACATATCTCATTTAATCCTTGCAAACATTAATAAGCAGTGTGTTGCTATCCTCCTTTGTCCTTCCAGTAAGGGACAGAGTTGTGGCTCCAGAAGTAGGCTTGTGTTCCCCACCCGGTGCCTCTGCGGGAAGACCCTGGTTCAGGAAAGTCATGGCTACAAAGTGAACTGAGGGAGTGACAAGCTGGGAAGATGGTTTGTAACTCCCTAGCTAGGGAAATAAAAAGTGTTTAGTGTTAGAATTCAGAAAAGCTAACCAGAAAAATATACAAAGTTCAGGGATGAGAAAGTAGCACTGATAAAGAGTAAAGCTTTAGACTTTTCATTTATAAGGAATTTACATATACTTATTTATAAAATATGTTCTGCTCTATTTTTGTTAAGAAACAACTTTAAAATCTAACTCATTTGTCAAACCTGAAGCCTGAGGGGGAACCTGGTGACAGTATACACGAGCATGAGCTTTGCACACCGTCCATCCCAGGACTCTGGCAGCTGATGCAGGAGGATTGCCCCGGTCCGAGGCAACCCCACCCACCCACTCACCCGCAAATGAACAGAAAGCTATGTATGACAAGAACACTTACACACTGAAGCTCATGCTGTGGGTGCCTTCCTCAGGCGCCTGCAGACTCGTGCCTGGTGTGTGGTCTTCGTACTCGGTCATTTCTAGCACACTCATCTTTTCTGTTCTGTCAAGCAGGGACCCTACGTTGGGAAGGTTCATTAGTTCACTTCATCAGAGTAAACTTCTCCAAGTGTGAACCAAAGGGGGAAAAGTTTTTTCTCTTGCCAGAGTGACATGAAGGGTCTTGAGGGAGGTCAGACCTTTGTGGGTACCCAGAAATGGGTTGGCCTCCACTGAGCCAATCACGTGTCAATCACAGCTCTGCTTGCTTGTGCACAGAAGCAGCCTATCAGAGGCATGTTTGGTACACACAAATGGAACCTTTGGAGGGTCTTCATTCGCTCCCAGGTCAGCTCTACTCTTCTTGTCATAGGCTTTGGACTCACTCAGGCTGTCTTCCCAGAGTGATCCCCAAAAGCTCTGTTCCCCCACCAGGTGCCTCTTTATGTCCCTGTCTCTGATGTCAAAGGACAAAGATCTTATATCAAAGAATAGGGGAGAAGACACCAGCTAAACAAAAGACAGTCATGCTCAGTGCTCATCAGCAGAGACATAGATAAGCAAGTTATAGGGTATCCATACAACTGAAGAGTATTGAACACTAGAAGGAATACCGATTCATGCTGTGTGCATGACAAGTGCTTTACCGACTCAGCCATCTCCCTAGCCTCTCCCTCATCTTTTTTATGCTGTGCTTTTTCTTCTCATCCAGCAGCCTCACCACCAGCATGCTTGCCTGATCCACACACAACTGTTCAGCTAGCTAAAGAACATGAAACAATGGCCCTGCTGAGTCGAGGATCTCCTGGGCAAACAGCCCCTTCCCTCCCGGCCAGCAGAACATCACTCGCTGTTGGCTCGTAAGTCCTCAGTATCTCCTCCTCCACTTACAGACATGAGGCATGACACGGAGGGAGGAAAGTAGTTACTGGCTGGCACACTGTCCACTTGAGACAGCCTGTACGTCAGAGCTGCTGCGTGCTGCTATATTCAGTTTTGCCTCTGTTAATAGTTGAATATATCACTTCTATTTTTATATCTGTTTTTCCCATTGTGCTGGCGTGAGAGGGTGGCAGCGCTGCAGATGTCCTCGGTTCAGTTTGGAAGACAAGACAGATGTCTCTCTTTCCCCATTTCTGCATCTCAGCCTCAGTCAGAATGCTCATGTGTGTGGTATTCAGGAGTCATGAGAAGTGAATGTTGTATGTTACACACACGAGCAATACTTAGAGATTATCGTGGTAGTATGATGAAATGTCACCTCATATTGCTGTCCTATTATTGTACCCTGCAAGCTCTGTCAGATCCTTATGTACTGATTGCTTCCCTTTATGTAAATGCTTAAGTCCCAGAATCTGCCCTCACAGTGTCAAAAATGCAGGCCACACTGTCAAAAATGCAGGCCACAGGCTAAATCTCAGTCCTCTAGAATCGCTTGCTTTACTATAATGCAGTCATAAATCAGGACAGATGACTACGTCAAGAGTAAACGAAAACTGGGGACAGGGGGATCATCTTCCCTGCTCTTGACTGCCCTTCCTCTGTCTGTCTGTCTGTCTGTCTGTCTCTCTGTCTGAGTCAGGTAGGAGTCAGAGTTGCTGATGAGGCTCGAGTCGAATCTGCTCACCTGTGTGGACATCCCTGGTGACCCGGGGCTTGAGAATTTGTTCTAGAGATGGCCTGGAGGGAAGTACAGATGGGTGGCAGGAAAGTGTCTGTGAAAGTTATCAGGGAAGCTCTCTAGTGGGATGTGGTCGCTAAGACTTGCTAGATGCCTTCAAGGTGGCTTTTTGGGGGCTGTTCTCACATCCTGGGGTCTGGCTTCAGCTATCTCGGCCACTCGCAGAGGTGAGTTCCCATTAACCCAGCACTTAGGTACTATAGGACTGGCAGTGCAAGCTGAAAACCACTGCAGCATCTGGGGGTCAGTACTCCCATCTTAACAGACCTTTCTCCCGCCTTGTCCCCTCCTGCCACGTCATTACAATCAGTGCGAAGTCCACCAGCTAACGCCACATGCAGTGAGAGCCAGTGAATGCAGGTCAGCATGAGGGGCGGAGCCAGTGAATGCA